TCCATGGGTAATCTTTCTGCCCATGGATGGAGTACATTGGCAACCTCTTAGAGGATCAGCTGCTCTGAAACATGTGTGGGGAGCTTCAAAATTTTATCGTGGAAAATTACATGATCTTTTAATTCCTGTTTTGAAGCCCCCTGGTATACTTCTTTTGTAGCGACCAAAAAAGATGAGGTGTTTCAGGCTGAAAAGATGCCCAGTTCATTGCCTGACTATTGCTTCAAGGGACTCGCTCGAGTACATAAGCAAATCATTCCATTTATTCAGAAAAAGTTAATCCCTTCCCACCCAAAACCTGCTAGCCCAAGCCTCCTGCTGGGACTCTTTAGGCCACTCCCATTTATGTTATCACCACCAGCTCCTCAGTGAGGAGCCCTGATGGGGCGGTAATCCAACACCCTGTTGCTAAAGGTTGGTGGTTCAAGCCCACTCAAAGGTTCTTCTGGAAAAAAAGACCTGATTATCTGCTTCTGTAAACAGTTGTTGTTATTGTTGTGAGGTGCCATTGAGTCTACTCCGACTCATACTCTGCCCCTCCACTTTACCAAACACGATGTCCTTCTCCTGACAACACGTCCAATGTATGTATGGCAAGCCTCACCATCCTAGTCTGTCTCTAGGAGCCCTCTGGCCGAGCTTTTAAAACAAATAGGCCTATCCTTTTAGCAGTCCGTGTTACAGCACCAGAAACCCTATAGAGCAGCTCTGTCCTATAGAGTCTCTCTGAGTCAAAATTGACTTGAAGGTGCGCGCCAATCACAGCTTCTCTGTGCAGTGTTCTCAGTCACAAGCCCGCAGCTTACCAGGATGTGACGCCTCCTATGAGTAGCGCCTGCTGACATGCAGTGGTTGAATTCGGGGATCAGCTCCAGCTCTTTAAACTCAGTCACATGTGATCGTTATTTGAAATATCCTTCTTTCAAGTACTGAAATGGGGGTGAGGGATATATGTGAGTCAAGGGATTCCATTAGCATCACTACTGAGTGACTGGACTCTGGACCACACTAGGTGACACTATCAGAGGGAGTGACATCAAAGTGTCTGCTTGTGAATGTTTGCACAGGGTTTCAGCAGACATGTATTATTTTTCATAAAACGATCCCTGCAGTTATAACAACAAAAATTCTTTTGTAAGCCCCACTTCCATGTATGAATAAACTTACAAGGTATATGAATAACTCCAGTCCCTGGAGAAGGAAGGGTGCCATGCTTGGTCAAGTAGAGGGGAGCACCAATGAAGGCCCTCAGTGCGCTGGGTTGGCACAGCGGCTAAAAGACTGGGCTCAAACCACCATTGTGCAGGTGGAGCAGGGCTGGGCCATGTTTCGTGCTGTTGAACACAGGGTCACGGTGAGTCTTGGCACCTAACAGCAACAGCAGGACTGCAGGCTCAAACGCTGTGCTTCTTTATTTCCTGAACTTTCCATCGCTCCAGTTGGAGCTGTCACTATTACCCAGTTTCTATGAGGCTTTAAGTAACATTTTTGTTATCGTCAGTGTTTATGATTTTGTCCACATATCTAATATTTCAGCTACAACATTATGCTAATTAGTACTTGTGAACCTATATCAATACATTTTTGAGGATCAAATTATAATTCAAGGAAAAGAAGGAGAAAAAGAGTTTTCAAACATCTGTTCCATGACTTGAAATGTTTTAACTACTAATGCGTATCATTACAAAACAATTTTGTTGATAATATTCAAATAATATAATAAATATTACCTTTAAGCAATGTATAACTATACCACATCTTATTCGATGACTAAAACTGGTCACAGGTATTACTAAGGTTCTGTGTTGCCTGGTGCTGGAGGAGGTCCGTGGAGGTGATGGCACCATGAGGTACTGCCCTGGTGACACAAATAATAGCACCACGTGACTCTGTTGTATTCTACAGTAAAGCAGAAAGCAAAATTGCATTATGAACTGCATACCTAGTGAGTATGCAAAAGATGGACAAGGGGTGAAACTCTCCCTTCCATTTGGAGACCTGGTTTAATTTCTAGCCAATCAACCTCCTGTACAGGAGCCCTGGTGATGTAGCGGTTACTTGCAGAGCTGCTGACTGGAAGGTCAACAGTTCAAAGCCACCAGCTGCTCCTGGGGGGAGAGATGAGGCATCCTACTCCTGTTGAGTGTCGAAGTCTCAACAACCCATGTGGGGCAGTTCTGCCCTACCCTATAGGGTCACGGTGAGTCAGAACGGACTGAGGACAGCGGGTTTGTTTTTCAGCCCCTCATGCACAACCGGCACTATCTGTCAGAAAAGGCTTGTGAGTTGCTGAGATGCTAAACAGGCTTCATTGGCATTCCAGACTAATGAAGGTCTAGGAAGCTAGGAAGAAAGGTCTGGTGACCTACTTTTAAAACTCAGCCAAAGGGTTTTCCCTGTGGTTGACAGCACCCAGTGTACAGCTGATCATGGGAACGGTGCGGGGCTGGGCAACACTTCATTCTGGTGCTGCTGTGAGCCAGTCCAGTGGCAGCTGGCAACAACAATCAGGGCAACGAAGGGGGTCCTTTGCTGGGCGTGGTGGGGACAGCACAGAATGGAGAGAGTGGTCTCTTACTTACAGACACAGGATACGGTCATGGAAATTAAGCAAGTGAAAAGGTAAATAGCACCAAGATACAAATAAAAATATGTCACGGGATAGCCTACGAGAATTATCACAGTAAATGAATGTTTCAAACAGCACAGAACACCCTAAGAACCGTGAGCACGCGTGGTCATCAACGTTGTGGAGGCTGCCAGTGAATTCACCTGCATTTGTTCTCAGGCAAATCCTAGAACTATGCTTTCTTCCTTTCTCTAGTGTCGAGATGTTCTAAATATATGGCCCCCCTCCTACAGTTTCAAACAATGCCCCTGTTCCTTTGTCCCCCGGTGCCCCAGGCCTCCCAGGGCCAGGGGGGTGTCCTTCCAATGTGTGGGGCCTCTGGCTTCTCTGACTTCCTGTGCAGCAGCTGCACATGCGCTCTGCCCTCCAAGTGTCCTACCAGGACAGGCTCAAGGATCACAGACCCTCCCTGGGACTCTGTCGCCAGTGGCCAGTAAAACCACGCTTCTGGAGGGTTTGATAAGTACTTTAACTCATAATACAGAATTAATGATCTGACACATAACTCCCCCGCCCCCTCAATGCCCAGCAAAAAAGGAGTCAACAACGTAAAGCTGAAGCCCTGGCGGTGTAATGGTTACACGTTGGGCAGCGATCCACATGGTCGGCAGTTTGAAACCACCAGCCGTCCGCAGGAGAAAAACTGGGCTTTCTCCTCCCGCGAATAGTTACTGTCTCGGCCACCCACAGGGGGCTCCCAATGAGTTCGCATGGACTCGATGGCAGTGAGCAAGGTAATGCTAGTTACCGGAAGTCAAAACACCAACAAAACCACATTTCATGAAAGCTTTTAGCTAGCAGCACCCACACCAAGTAGTTCCGGTGGATCATTGCACGACCTGCTTGGTCCCTAGCCAGGTTCTCGCCCTCACAAGTGCTCCCTTAGGAGGAAGAAATGTCACCTCATGCCTCTGGAGTTCCGTTCGTCGTAGTGGGTAACACTCCCTTGGGGCGGAGTTACCAAGGCTTTGGAATGGCCGTTTCTGTCTAGTCTTAAAGGTGAAAGGCGGAGTTATCTGGTGAGAAGAACAGAACAGGAACATGTTAAACATGGAAGGATCTCCCTTTGGCTTGGCTAAGCTGAGGGTTGGAACTGAGATGAAAATTTGTCCCAGTATAGATGTGTTTACCCGTTCAATTCAAGGACTTTTTTTTTTGCATGTCTCTGCACTTAGTGTAAAAAATAAAACATTGCTAATGTACCCCCACCAAGATAAATCTATCAAGTGTCATGGTGTACTTGCAAAAATATGAGTTATGAAGGGATTCTCCAAATCTATTATCTTGATGTGTGGAAAGATAGGCCTTGCTTTACTCTGAATAACTGACCAAGAATACCCACGTGAATGTATCAGTAGCTACGACGTTCTTTAGTTAGAAGGCCAAAACCATGAACTAAACAAGAGAACACAAGTTGCTGTGGAAGAAAAGACTTAGCAAACTGGGATTCTAAAAGGAATGCTTGGGGAGTGTTATCTTGGAAGATCATCACCTGGAACAATTCCCTTGATCTTCCAGAGCCTCCATGTTCTCATTGTTAAACGGGGGTAGTAATAGAACTGACCTTATAGAGATGCTGGGAGAATTGAATGACATAACGTGCTCAGTACTCAGTTGTGCGCCTGACATGCAGAAAGCACTCAGTAAATGCTACTTAGTATTTTTTAGCACTCTCGTGGAACTGTCTGAACTTTAGATAAAGTTGTTCCTGATTTAGAATTTTAGGATTTGGTACCAAGCTGTATTTTGTGACTGAGTTATTAACAGCTTTATCTTACTCCTTTATCACAAGGAGAGCACCTTACAGTGTGGGCTACTTGAAGACACAGTTTGCATTTAAGACAATAATTCTAGGATCCTGGAAACAGATATTTAGAAAGTTGTTTGTTGGTTTGTTTCAAAAATTCAAAGTGTGATTTTATATTATGTTGAAATAGAACGATTTGTTGTTTCACTTGTGAGAGCACATTTTGTTTCCATCATTTAAGTAAGAACGAAAATCCAATTCGAATTCTGGAAAAATTATGTGGAGGCTTTCTTCTGGAACACACCGCATACAATAAAGCGATACACCCAGCAGTCACATTATCCTTTAGTTTAGCCCAACAGACACAGCAGACACCCCGCTTTTCCGTGGGTCTGTGTGAGTCTTCTGCACAGGCCTCTTTCTGAAACCCCACAAAGCTGTCAACTCCGCGTTAGGGTGCTGCTATATATAACAACTTTACCTAAGCGAATGAGGCAGCCACTTTTAGAAAACGCAGGTGCCATGTAAGCCCTCTCTGAAACGAAGAACTTAGCTCAGTTTCCTTTGAAAACCAGGAGACTTGAAACTGAAAACTTTATTAATGCCATTGTCTCCTTGTATCAGCAGGTTCCAGAGAGATTCCTGGAAGTTGCGCAGATCACATTACGGGAGTTTTTCAATGCCATTATCGCAGGCAAAGATGTCGATCCTTCCTGGAAGAAGGCCATCTACAAGGTCATCTGCAAGCTGGATAGTGAAGTCCCTGAGATTTTCAAATCCCCAAACTGCCTACAAGAGCTGCTTCATGAGTAGAAACTTCAGCAACTCTCTTTGAATGTATGAATAGTAACGGTCCCCTTTGGATATCTAAGTTATATGTGTCTAAATTGTGATTTCATATATATGTGTATGGGAGGCATGGATATGTGATGAACTCAGCTGGTAATTCCTCCTCTCCATCTTTCTCTCATTTCTTTTGTTTTCCATTGCAGGGGGAATATATAGTTTATTTTTGCCCAAGGCTCTTAACGTTTGGGACTTAAAATAGGGTTAACTTTCAGGGAACAGGAATGTTGATGTGTGCAAAGTCTACATTAGCAAGGAAGGCATTGGTGAACGACACCTCTGCTTGAGGGATGGCGGATTGCAAATGGCAGTTAGCCGAGGGGAACCCAATGACAACACCATTCAGCAGCCGTGTGTCTCATCATTTGACTGCTATGAAAGACAGAAAAGTCAATGGAACGACTTCATGGACTTCATTGTTTCACTTAGTGTAGACTCAGTAAGTGGACTTTTCTTGCCTGTGTGAAAGTAATACTAATAGCAGCTGAACCACTCCCTTCCCAGAGGACCAAATTCAAACAGAGAAAAAAACAAACCACTACCCACAAAGTGTGCCCGGAGAGAAACGGCAGACACCCCCAAAAAGTATCAGTTTGTTATGGAAGCAAAGTGGTGGTGCGCAGCGCTGGCTCTTCCCAACGGAGACGGAAAATTCCTGTGTGGTCTTCTAGCCACCCCTCTAAATTGGCCTGTATCATTCTTCACGGAGAAAACCCCTACACTGTTGTGTTCTTACTTTCCTCTTCGCTTCAGATAGTAAAGCTTACTCATATGCCACTCTGCCCATATGTTTGAAAGGATTTTTACTTCCTTGTCATGTGTGACACTATTGTCCCCCCTCAAACACTATTTTCTGAATGCCTTTCTACAACAAGGTATAACGGATAATCCCATCTCGATCAGGCCATTCCTGCCTCCACTAGAAGTTTGCTGACAGCTGTTGGCTAACTTGATCTTCACCTCCTCAGAGGAGCACATATGCCAATGACCTACTTTTCAGAAACGATCCCACAGCACCCTGTTGGACATTCAAAGTGGTGACAGTCTAATTGTTTCTTCATTTTAGATACAGCGTTTTTGAGTGATAGATAAAGTCTCTTCTAATTCAGAAGCTAAAATTGACCAAATGTGAGCAGTCTGGCTAGCATAGGACAATGTGCAGTGAGTCCAAAAACCGCAATTTCTGCACACCTGAGAAATTAGCAGCATTTCTGCTTTCTTCAATGATTCTCCTCCTTTTTTCTCCCTTCTCCAGTTTGTCAAAGGTGACGTCCCATACCTGCTGTTAAAAACCATCTTCGGGCAATGAGCACTTGTCTTTGTTTTGTTTCTTTTGCGTGTAGATGCAGTAAGAATTCATTGTTCATTTTGATAGCGTTGTAAGCCCCTCCCCTCAGGTAATTTGATAACACTTTCCCTTTAAAAAATGACACAGAAACAAATTGGGAATTTACATCACAGAGAACATAAATACTTTTTCTTTTCTTGTGAGTATTTTTTTTAATGCCAATTTGACTTTGGAGAATGCAAGTTGACCCATGTGACTAAGAAGCTGACCCACTCTTGGTAATTTAACATCATTTACAAATTCTGCTGATAGACAGGAATGTATGAATACAATTATTGTCAGCACAAAGCCTTAAAACCTGCTGACTTCAAATTAAATGGTGCAGTCCTGTAATGCCCTGTCATCATTCGGGAGCCTGGTCGCCTCTCACCGTGAGGACCGAGCAGGCAATGGCATGGGCTGGGGCTCCAACTGCTTCACTCTTGACCTCAGCCTATAAGATCTCCCAGCTCCTGCTCTCCCACACCACGCACACACAGTCCTTAGAGCCGATTATTCCTGTTGCTTAAGAAAAAGATACACAGTACATTGGAATACGAGTTTTTTTAAAAACATAGGATAAAACCAGGAAGTGCAAAATTTGGAAGCCATCATAACTTGTGGTCCCACTCTCGACTTCAGGTGCAGAGAGCAGCCTCATTGTGGTGGTCAATCTCAGTCCCACACTTGGATCTTTGCCGTTCGGGGTTTGTCTTATCAGCCCTGGGTCCTCATCTGCAAAGTGAAAGGCTAAGCCGGCCCGTACTCGCCTGTGTAGACAGATTGACAGGGATCTTCTTGATCTGAGGCACATTCAATATTGATTCCAGAATTAATTTGGATTTTGAGTATTAGATCCCCCTGCCCCCGCATTTCTAATTTAAACAGGCAAATGAAGCAAAGGGTATGTGTTCACAACCAAATGGCAACGACACCCTTATCTACTGATAATATCCTCTCCATGTTCGCCGAGGTAGAGAGATCATCGCAGAGTAGAAACTGCATCATCTGAACAAACACATCTTTGTTCTGAAACTAGATGGCCATCACGCTGCTTTTAGGTGGGTTGTCCCCTTTTACAAACAAGAGTTCTTGCGCCTCCCCAGTACATCATGTTATGGCAAAAGCCCGTCTCTCCAAACACCTAGTAAATTCATAGTTAAGAAACAAGGCACTGTCCTTCCAATGTTAACTGAACCCTCTTCAAAGGACAATTGGCTACTTGGAGGAAGGCAAACTTTCTCTCATGAGAGGGTGACAGGTGAGAGACAGTTTACACAGAGGGGGGACCCTACAATCCATATGGAAATACCACATTACCACTTCTTTTCTTCTAGCACTAAATTATTTTTGCATCTTGAGAGTGTAGTCTGTGCCTAGACCTAACCTGCACCAGTGGGGGGGAGTGGATATTCTTAAATCCTTCAAAAATACCAATTGTTGTTGTTGTTTCATCCCCCAGGAGTACCATTGTTCTTGTGCCTTCTGTGGCTTTCAACTTCATCTTTTTGACTTTAGTTTCAATTATACAGCTGCAATAAACACTAGGTTGGTTTTTTTTCCTGGCTGTTTGACATAATGTTGATAGCTATGCATATTTTGTGTCTTTTTAAAAAAACAACAAAAAACAAAGTGGGAGAATACATTTTTGAAGAAGAGAATTTTTAGCACAGTTTGATACCGCAAATTATTTTTTTCCTTAAATTGTTTGAGCAGCATTCAAGTTTTGAAAATTCTTGTAGAAGCCAATTTTTTGTAACTGTGGTGCAAATCTTGTGTTTTCTTAGCCTAATGAAAAGTAGTATAGAAGCAATATTTCATACCATGTGCTATATATGTGTGCAGATATATGTGCACAGGCACATATATCCACACATGTAAAATATACATAAATATATGCGTGTGAAGTGGAAAGCTTACCTTTTCCTATCTAGATTTAAGAACTTACTTTAAACATTTGTTGTTTTGTGAAAAAGATGTTCTATTTGCAACAACAAAACATTTCATTCTTACTGTATCTCTGGCTGTTTAATGGGGCCATTTCACATTAAATGGTGAGACATGTGGAAGATGTTAGAATATAGTCATTATTTAAGGATATGTTCACCCACATATTCCCAAGGTTTGCTTTGTGCCTCTGAGTATTATTTAATTAAAGTGTTTTCTGTTTGCAGAATCTTTGTTACTGTACTAGGGATGTGGGTGAAGATCATTTTTAAAAATCTAAAGACAAAACAAGAGAAAAACAAAAACAAGACAACAACACTACACCAAGAGGGGAACTTTTATAGAGTGATGTAAATATGTAACCTCATGGCTGTTGTTAGGTAAGACATGAGACTTTAATAAATAACTACATTCTCACAGCATCTGTTGAATTTATTAGGAGCACTACAGTGACTGTATAGACAGTTGAAAGCATTCTTGAAATCCTGCTCTTTACTTTTAAAAGATAACAGTCTCTTTCATCAGATGTCAAGGGCAAGGGCAATGCAGTTTCTGTAAATTTATGAACTTTCTTTTCTGTGTACATGAAGACATGTTTAATAAGTAATCCCTCTTCCCTCCCCCATCTCGCCTCCCAGTGGTTAACATTAAGTCATAAAGCTAAAGATTTGGGGGCTTAAAAAATAGGATGCCTTCTTCCCAAGAGCCATCCAAATTCCATTAAAGAAAAAGTGGTTTATGGACCCTTTGGAAGAATCACTGTACATTTGAGGACAGAGCAGCCTGTCTTTGCCACGTATATGACATTCATTGGTGTGAATTGTACACACGCTTCCTTCTGGTACAAACTGTGTTTGCAAATTTCAAACAGCATTGTTTTCAAAAAGCTCCCCTTAAAAAAAAAGTAACTGGTTGATCTGAGTTAGCAGTTACTATATTGCACTTAAAGATAAGGTAGAAGGAAATACCGTTTTCTGGAGAATGGTTGGTTGTAAACCACCTATTAAACTGCAGTTGAAATGTTCACTTTTAAAGCTGGGACCCAAACTGGTATTTAACCTTTTGTAGCTTCGTATAAGTATTCTTTTCAGAATATCACATACCTTGGAAACATCAGGACTTTGAATCTTGTCAACTGAGCCTTCTCTCAAATCAGATCCCCCCTAAAATGCATAGGCAGGATCTGAAAAGGCAAACAGGCTGGCCGCCTTTTGTGAAACCGTGTTCATTTTGTATTTTGTGCATACTCAATTCCTCTATCCGGGAGAGAGAAAGCATCCTAAAATAGTATCTGACCACTTCCAAATTAGAATGAGGAGGGGAAAAAGTATTTGGGGTTGGTCTCAGTACTACCAAAAGAATGAAAGATTGCAGTTTCCCCAATACTTCCCAGCCATTTCTCATATGTATATAGTTACAAACCGTGATAAAACACTGCCTTTATGTTATTTAGCAATATGTTGTAAATAGCATTATTAAGCTCTTTTTTGTAAGACCCTTTGATTGAATATAGTACAATAACTCAACTGATAAAGTCAATTTTTGATTTTCTTTTTTTTTTTTTAGCTAGAAGCGATTTCAATTGTGGATTTTTGTTGTTGTCTATTGTTCTGAAGACTTTGCATAATTTATTGGTTTAATTTATCCTAATTTATTTGATGAAGGTGTACAATTTTGTATTACCAAGGATGTACTGTAATATTGATATGATAAAAAAAATGAAACTCCCTGTCCATATTAAAAAGAAAATAAAAAGGTGCAGTAGACAATTAATTTTCAAGTCAAAGTACAAAATTTAGTTTGGCAGCTACTAAATTTTAAAACAGGAAAAAAAAAGAGAGTTGTTAGGGTCGGGGTGGGGGTGGGGGCGGGGTTCTACTTCGTGTGTTTTAAGCTTTTGTATACTCTCCAAACTTTTACCTTTTTGCTTTGTACCACTTAAAGGATACAGTAGTCCAATTGCCTTGTGTGCCTTCCATCTTCTCTTAAACTGAATGTATGTGCAGTATATATGCAAGCTTGTGCAAAATAAAATATACATTACAAGCTCAGTGCCGTTTGATTCTTTTGTGTTTGTTTTGCTTCATTTGGGAAACGTGTGGCACTTCATTTGGGGACCTGTGTTCAATCATAGGCCAAAAGCTGGTTGCGACTGTTGCTTCAATTATGCAGTTTTCCTTTCATTACAATTCTTAATGATACAAGCCTACCACCAAGGCGGGAGCCCTGTGCAGCGCTGGTAGCACAGTGGTTATGCATTGGGCTGCTCACCACAAGGTCAGAAGTTTGAAACCACCAGGCATTCAGTGAGAGAACAGATGAGGTTTTCTACTCCCCTAACGAGTTACAGTCTCAGAAACCCACAGGGCCAGTTCTCCCCCATCCTATAGGGTCGCTGGGAGTCAGAATCTCCCGATGGCAGGGAGATGTGAGAGAGAGGACCATCAAGGCTTGTAACTCACTCATTTAAAAAACAAAAAGATGTAAGGCCTTTTCTTCCATTCAAGAGCTTGTAGTCCTTGACTAGGCTCTTCTGTGAAACTTCTCTCCGGCGGCAGCAATTTTTTTTCTTTTTAATTTATTGGGGGCTCGTACAATTCTTATCACAATCCATACACCCATCCATTGTGTCAAGCACATATGTACATTTGTTGCCTTCGTCATTCTCAAAATATTTGCCTTCTACTTTAGCCCTTAATATCAGTTGCTCATTTCCCCCCTCCCTTCCCACTCCCCCTCCCTCATGAATCCTTCATAATTCATAAATTATAATTATTTTGTCATAGTTACATTGTCCAACGTCTCCCTCTGCCCTCTTCTCTGCTGCCCATCCCCCAGGGAGGAGGCAATACTTAGATTCTTGCAATCAGTTCCCCCTTTCTACCCCACATTCCCTCCACCCTCCAGGCATCGCCCCTCTCACCACTGGTCCTGAAGGAGTCATCTATCCTTGATTCCCTGTGTTTCCAGTTGCTATCTGTACCAATGTACATCCTCTGGTCTAGCCAGATTTGTAAGGTAGAATTGGGATCATGATAGTGGGGGGGGAGGAAGAAGAATTCAAAAACTAGAGGAAAGTTATGTGTTTCATCGTTGCTACCCTGCACCGTGATTGGCTCATCTCCTCCCCACAACCCGTTAGTAAGGGGGTGTCCAGTTGCAGCCCTTGGGATTCAAAAACAACAAAAACTTTAGGCAAAGTAATGTTTGCTTCTAATTCGATCATTGCTCGTGTTTAATGACTAAGAACAAGGAGAGGTGGTACAGAACACACTTGCAACAGGAAAACGACGAGCTTGTACTTTTACTATGCTGATGAGGCTCAAAACCAAATATCAATGTCAAACTTCAAAGCTAGTTTCAAAACTTTGCTTCAGAGATGATTGCCAGCCTTTGATAACTTTACTCTGGTTTACAATCACACTATCTTTAGCTTCGAGTCAGGAAGCTGAACATTTATTTGTACTTCTGGCAGTCCATCTTCTATACGAATGCATTTGTCCCCAACACCATAATTCAAAGGCTTCAGTTCTTCTGTGGCCTTCCTTACTCTAGCTTTTGCATGCATACTACGATGCTTTGAAAACGTCATGGCTTAGCTAGTCAGATAGACTTTAGTCTTCAAAGTGATGTCTGTTTTTTAATACGTTAAAGAGTTCCTTTGCAGGAGATTTTGCAAATGCAATAACCCATTTGATTTCTTGGCTGTGACTTCTGTGGGTATTCATCGTGAATCGAAGTAAAATTAAATCCTTGACAACGTTTACCTTTTCTCTGTTTATCGTGAAGTTCCTGATTGGTCCAGTTGTGAGGATTTTTGCTTTCATTCTGGTGATGCACAATCCCTATTGAAACCCATCACTCCGCGATCTTCATCAGTAAGCGCCTCAAGTTCTCTTGACCTTCAGCAAGTGAATTTGTGTCATTCATCTGCAACACAGGTTGTTAATGAACCTTCCTCCAATCTCAGTGCCATTTCCTTCCTAGAGTCCAGCTTCCCAGATTATTGGTTGAACATACAGACTGAATACGAATGGGGAAAGGATACAACCCTGACTTGCATCTTTCCAGATTTTAACCTAGCCAGTATCTTCATGCTCTGCTTAAAATACTGCCTCTTGGTCTATGTACAAGTTTCACGGGAGCACAATGAAGTGTTCTGGAATTTACATTCTTCTCGATATAATCCACACAGTGGACTGTCTTTTGCACAGTCACAAACACGGGTAAACACCTTTCTGGTATGCTCTACTTTCAGTCAAAATTCATTCAATTTTAGCCAGGATATCCCTTCTGCCACCGACTAACCAAAAACTAAACTCGTGGACTCTATTCCTGTTCATAGGGATCTTATGGGCCAGAGTAGAACAGCCCCATTAGGGTTTCTGAAACTTTAAATTCTTTCCTGGAGGAGACAGCCTCATCTTTCTCCATCTCAGTGGCTGGTAGAGCAGCCCTGCTGACCTTGCGAGTCGCAGTTCCTACCCATAAGTACACCACTAGGACTCCTTCTTCCACACCCTCTTCTTACTCAGGCTTGAATTTATGGTAGTTTCCTGTTAGTATATGGCTGCAACTAGTTTGGAATTATCTTCTGTTAGATTTTACTTGCATATGCTATAAATAATTTTGTTGTTGTTGTTAGGTGCCATCGAGTCCGTTCTGACCCATAGTGACCTTATACACAACAATCCAAAGCGCTGCCCAGCCCTACACCATCCTCACAATTGTTCCTGTGCTTGAGCCTGTTATTGCACCACTGTGTCAATCCGTCTCCATGAAGACCTTCCTCGTTTTTGCTGCCCCCTACTTTCCCAACATGATGTCCTTCTCCAGAGACTAGTCTCTCCTGACCACATATCCAAAATATGTTAGATAAAATCTCACCATCCTTGCTTCTAAGGATTAATGATATTCTTCCAAAATTTCCTCATTCTCTTGAGTCACCTTTTGGAATGGACACAAACGTCGTCATTTCTTGGTACAGATTAGTGAGTGCATCTCCTGCTTTATCAGCGTGTTGAAATCGCTCGGTTGGTGTTCCACCAATTTCCTGAACCTTGTACTCAACCAATGCCTTCAGTGCCCCTTGGAGTGCTCTCTTCAATACCCTCACTTCTTGGTCTGATGCTACCTCCTATAATTGGTGGAATGCTGAGCAACTCTTTTTGTTCTCCTGACTGTATATTCCATCTGCTCTTGAGATTTCTTGTGGCATTCATTATTTTGCCCATCAAATTCTTCAGTGGGACAACCTGAGACTTGAACGTTTTCTTTAGTTCTTTGAGTTTGAGGAATGTTGAGCATGTTCTTCCCTTTTGGTTCTCCCACTCCAAGTACTTGCGCTGTCTTAAAACTCTGTTCAGCTCTTTTTACTTTGCCCTTTCCTCCATTTGCTTTACATTCGGGATCTGTTGTCAGAGGCTCTTCTGACACCCATTTGGCCTTTTCTTTCGTTTCTGCCTTCTAATGACTTTTTGTTGCTTTCATCTGTAACGCCCTTAATGTTAACTGATAACACGTCTGGTCGTGGGTTATTAGTGTTCAGTGCATGAACTCTATTCTTGAGATAATCTTTAAATTTCATGTGAGGCATAGTCAAAGTCACTTTGTCTCTTCTAGACGGGTTTTAATTTTCTTCAGCTTCTACTTCAACTTGCATGCAAGCAATTGATCTCCTATGATCTCCTATCAGAGGCTCCTGAACTGGTTCTACGCACGATATTAAGATTTTCCATAATTTCTTTTAGCAGATATAGTTGATTTGATTCTTGTGGACTAGGTTCACATGCGTGGTCATTGTTTACATTATAGGAAAAAAATACATTTGCAATGAAGTCATTGGGCTTGCAAAATTCTATCAGATAATCTTCACCTGTGTTTCTATCACCAAGGCCATATTTTCCAACTGCTAATCCTTTATATTTATTTCCAACTTTCACATTCCAATCACCAGCATTTATCTATGTATCTTGATTACATGTTCAATCAATTTCAGACTTGATAAAGAAGTTGGTAGAAATATTTAATTTCCTCACCTTTGGTATCGATGGCTGTAAGTAAATGTGAATAATAGCCATATTAGCTGCTCTTTCCTGTAGGTGTAAAGACATTGCCCTATCACTGACAGCATTGTACTTGAAGATAGATCTCAAAATGTTCTTTTTGATGATAAATGAGATGCCATTCATTATCAAATTGTCATTCCCAGTGTAGTCAATTATACTTTGGTCTGATTCAAAGTGGCTAGTACCAGTCAATTTTAGCTCACTAATACCGTAGATATTGATATTTATGCATTCTATTTGTTTTATGACTTCCAGTTTTCCTGGATTCATATTTCCTGAATTCATATTTATGCATTCCACATTCTGATTATTAATGGATGTTTGCAACTGTTCTCATTTTGAGTTTTTAAGTCTCACTTAGGAAACAGCTGTTATAATAACTAAGCAAAAAGGTCAACGATTGTTTCAGTAATAAATAGTATTGTGCCCATCGCCAACAATCAAAACTTTTAAAAAGAATGCTAAGACACCTTGGAGAAACTAAAACAGTAACTTTGAAAACTCGAGTAAACAAGAAAACGCTGCTTTAGGTGTGGGAAGACCTGGTGCCAATTCAACTTTAAACATCTTGTAGCGCTCGGGCAAACATAAGCAGGTCTCCCAGGGCAATCAAATGAGCTACAAGGGGCAGGGGGAGTGTGATAATCCAGGCGGCCACCCAGCTGGCTATTTCTGAAGCCCCCTCCACAAAGGAAGAGAATTTGGTTTTGCCTCTCACAAGACAGGCAGTTTATATTGCAAGGGCAAGATTCTGAAATCGGCCAATTGTGACTTTGGATCTT